TTGAAACGAAAGATTGTTTTTTTGGGGATTTTTAAGGCCAAATTAGGGATTGCTTGTCGTTTTTGATGTCGTCAGATTGAAGAAAATGCAAGTATTACAGTCGAACCAGAATCGGTTTGGTTTTTGGTTAACGGTCCGAATCAATCAATGTCGATTAAACCGGTTTCGTTGTCCGGGTTTTATAATTTGAAGTGAACATAAGCTATGAGAAATTTAGGGGTGGAATTATTATCCGGGATCCGAGATCCGATTCGTTATCCGTTTGGAATCGCTCCAAAAATTAGGATATTCGGAGAGCCCGGATCCGGATAAGGATAGTAAAATTTATGATCTGTGAAAAGAGGATCTGGATCCGGATAGCAAAATTTTAAGGTCCGGATATCCGGATCCAGACGCATTAAATATATTAAAACTATATATATTATATATCTATTAAACTAATTTTATATAAATAAATATATATAAAAATTGATTTTAGTTCTTTTTATAATAAATTATATTTATAATGAAAAAATACCATTTAAAATATTAACTAATAATTTTTAAAAATATATTTTTATTTATTTATTAATTATTTTAATTATTTTTATATTAATTTCGGATCCGGATCCGGTTATCCGCGAATATCCTGATTTTTGGAAAGATTCCTAGAGCCCGGATATCCGGAGGTCACGATTCCTGATCCGGATAGTTTTTTCACGGATCCGACGATTCCGGATTCGAATCCGGATACTATGAAATTCCAGGATATCCGGAATCGTCCCACCCTTAATGGGAATTGTATAAAAATTATCAAAAGATAAAATTCGAATTATTATTGAAAAAAATCTTCAAACCAATTTGAACAATCTCATATTGGTTTCTGGTAAAATAAAATTCAAGCATGAACGAAAAAAACTCAATAAGAACCTATAGCTCAACTACTAAAGATTTCAAACAAAGTAAATCGTTGGTTCGAATAGGCTAATGGAACGGAAGACCCACAATCTCTTATTTATTTCAAAAAAAAAAAAACTCAACCCCGGTGAAACTTGATCCGATTCAGAATACTACATACCATAAGAAGAATTGGAAGGATCAAAGATCTGACCAACGAACAAAACGGTTACAGTATAGTCTTCTCTTATCAAGAAAAGAAATGGATGATCGGCTACAAAATCTAGTTTTAGGACGTTTTATTGGAGCACAGCAGCCCGGTAACATAGTAAGATGAGCAGTTGCAGCCGTAGCTTCAGCACCTTCTTCATCGATTTCAACAAGAGCTTTGTGGTATAATGAAATCGATTGTATTCCTAACTGTTCTGAAACAGAAAACTCGAATTCAATCTTAAACTTCGGAATTCTGAGTTTCTCAACCTCAACTTTGTAACTCGGAATGTGACTATCCAAGAATCCACGAGTAGATGACATTCTCTCCACAAAAGTATCCAACCCATCTTTCTTGTCGGGTAGATAGAAATACATTGAGAATTCGCGCTTGATATCATCGCGGCCTTGTCGGTAAGGGAGCCTAAGAACCTTGAAACCGTCATAAGCTCTTACGTGTTGGTTCTCATGGCTACTCATGAATGACACATACACTATCTTGCCATTGACAAGGTGAAATTCTCTGTCTCTTGTATAATACTTATCAAATGGGCTTTTCCATGCTCCCTTGAAGTACAAGGCGTTTCCATAAATCTTATTGGTTATGTTTGTAACGAATCCGTGAGGAAGAAGATTCTTGATGAGACCACTGGTGTGATCTTCAACCCAAGCATTCACCTCCATACACACTTCTTCGGCCTTCAAAAACCAAAAAGCTAAATCAACAATCTCATATTTGCCACAATTCAAATAAAACTTGTCTAGATTTTGCTAGGGATGTGAAAAACACCCGATCCAAACCCGAACCAAAATCTAAAATAATCTGAACGGTGGACAAAATTTTATGAAGGATTATCCATACAACCGCGAAATCTATTAGGAATTAATATAGAGAGAGGGATATTGGAGATATTAACTTGATACACAAGTTATTAGAAGATGTGTGTATATCTTACCTTTTGTTAAGTTTCCTTTACTTAGATAATTCTCAT